CCTATAATAAAAGTCAATATAGGACACAAAAGGAAAGTGTCTACTTATAAAAACTCTCAGTTTGCTGATGGTATTTCCTAACAATGAAGATGCTTTTATTTCATGTCAGTTCACAAATATTATACAACCCAGGAAATAACGGTCTCTGTCTTAATTCATGGAGACAGTTTTTGGTGCCATCAGGGACACGACACTTCACGGTCTCTCTCTCATGGGCTGCTATTTTCCCCTTGAAAATTACTAAACTACACTCTTCTGATTATGAAAATCCTCTAAAATGGATATTACCCACGGGCGGAGGGGGAAGGAGGGGGGTAAATACAGTAAAACAAACGCCCAGCAATGCCCATTTAGCTCCTTTTTGTATACACTGCAAAATTTTTAAAATACATTTTCCCAAATTAAAATCTCCATGAAACATTTTGATGGATATTATACTAGGAACTGAATTTCAAATTCTCAGGTACTGTAACAATTTGTGTCTGTTATTACATGATAGAGTGTAATTTCTGATACAAATTGTTTATTCCTTTAATATTTTGCTACTATTCTCTCATTTAAACGGCCACAATTTTTTTAAAATAAGACAATACTACACAAATACATTTCAAAGTATGTTGGCTTATTTTACCAATCAAAAACATCTGGGACTTAAGGTCATCGTGGGGCCATATAACTGAACAGGGGGTATACATGCCAAAAAACAGTGTTCTGGAGACATAAATCCTACTTATTTTGAAAATGCTAGTAACAGATATTCTTTTTTTTTTTAAGATTTTATTTATATATTTGAGAGAGAGAGAGGAAAGAGAGAGAAAGCAGGGGGAGTGGTAGGCAGAGAGAGAAGAAGGACCCTGGGATCATGACCTGAGCTGAAGGCAGATGCTTAACCGACTGAGCCACCCAGGCACCCCACATAACAGGTATTCTTCATTAGGAATCAAAGTTTATTTAACTCAAGTTTAAATACTGAGGTTAAATAAGGGATCAGCTATTAAATTTGCTATTCACTACTTGAACCATTTAACACATGCTCATCATGTTTACTTATTAATACTTATTTAAGAGAGAATTAGATTTTCTTTGAGCAGTAACTAGGACAGTATAAATTCAGTTTCACCACACTGTAATAAAATGTAACCAACCCAAATTTTTAAAAGTAAGTGTTAATGACAACATGATATCTGTGGTCATTTCGTATCTGAGTCACTCTATCCAAATTCCTTTTAGGACTTTATGATATATTCTGCTCCCCCATCCTTTGAGAGATCATGATCAATGTAAGCTTGCATTCCCCAAGAGTCTCTAGAACGTAAATTCCTCTGTAACCTTTTAAGAAAGTATTCCTCATCTTAAGAAAAGCATTTTCGCAGGAGCACAAGTCAAACAGCAAAATAAAATTGACTAAATAATTGGTCTGTCTCCTCTCCTTGTAAAAAGCTTTACACAGTGGAGCTGTAGTGGCTCATCCTTTTCCTATTACATAAAGAAAAGAATTATTTTTCCATAGCCAACTACCATGAGACTAGAAAGTAAAATAAAGAAAGCATACCAGAAGAGAGCCCTAATTATAAATAAAAAATTTATTTTTAAATTTTTTTCTCTAATTACATAGAATTTAAATGAGAATAGAATTAAAGTTAAAATTTTCAAGTGCTAGTTTCACAAATTATCTTAATTATACATAAGCCTGTAAAAATAATGAATAACTCCATGTTGATCTCCCATCATTCAGTTTTAACAAATGTTAACATATTTTTATATTTGCTTCAACTATTTTTAAAATAGAAAGAAACATTACACAATTTTCTGAAAGCACTCCACCCAAACTTATCTCCCAGAGTTAGCCACTATTCTTAAAGTTAATGTGTTTTATTTTCCATATGTTCTTGTACTTTAATGTATTTCATTAGATACACATGTAAGCGATATTCTTTTAAAACTGCATAAATGCATCCTATTGTAGACATCCTTTGGCAACCTGCTTCTTCACTCATTATTATGCACTTGAGATGTATCCACGTTGATAGGTATGGATCTTGTTCATTCATTTTTACTCGGGGATAGTATTTCATTGCATGAATAAACCATAGTTTATCCATTAACCTACTAAAGTACAGCTGGATTGTTCTACTTCATTGCTATTTTAAGAACTGCTAAAATCATCTTTGCTGCATGCTTGCCTGGGCAGTTGCCCTAAGTTTAGTTAAGAATTCATCTCAACAAAAATTTGGTTGCAGAAGAACCCCAAAACGAAAGTTACCCATCCAGATGCCATCATTGGGTTTAACCACCGTGTTCCTACCAGGGAGATCATGTGAAATGAAGAACTGTATGAGGATGCTAAAGAACAAAATTTATTTAATAATTTTTATTTAATAAATAAATAATTTTTATTATTTACATTACATGTAAAAGAGAACCATGAGTTGATTAGTGAAATTAATGATACTAAAGTTTATCTCTATGAGCATAATTCTCTGTAGCCAACTGAAACTCTATGAAACAGCCCCAGTCTGTACACTTTCTCCAAAAAAGAAGTCTCTATTAGGGGTGCCTGGGTGGCTCAGTCAATTAAGTGCCTGCCTTGGGCTCAGGTCATGATCCCAGAGTCCCAGTGCTGAGCCCCACATTGGGATCCCTGCTCTGTGGGGAGTCTGCTTCTCCCTCTGCCCCTCACCCCACTCTCGTGTGAGTGCTCTCTCTCAAATAAATAAAATCTTAAAAAAAGAAAAAGAAAAAGAAGTCTATATGAAAGAGTAACCCTGCAAGAGCCAAACAAGTACTCATTATCTCACTGATTTAAATATTTTTGCTCTACCCATGTGGATCACTTACTTCAGCTACTGTACCAATTTCTCAGCTAATCTACCAACTGTGTGATGCAACGAACATCCAGACATAATGTAAAGACAGCACCAGAACATACATAGTGTAAGAGATGGGTATAGGAAAATAAATGCAACATTCAAAAGAACCATGTCACAGTTTGTTACTATTTTATTTGTGGTTACTGTGCATTTTCTTAAGGACTGATAACCTACAAAATCTACTACTCTCTTATTACCAATGGTTTTCAACAGAGAAGAGTAACAAGAAAGAAAAACAGCTTTTAAAAAAGCTCTACAAGTAAAATCTCTAATATAGTTGGAATATGTGCTAGGTTTAATCCCACAAAGTTATAAAAAGGGCTAAATGATCTAGAAAGTCATTAAAATCCTCACAGCACTCCTCGGAGTGTCTGAGAAAGGGGCTCAATCTCATACTACCTAAAAGCATACCTTCTTTTACACCATCTCAAAAATCACCAATTTTTACCTTTCCTTGTAGTTTTTTAACTCATACCTTACCTAGTGTCATATTCATAAAAGATTATAAAAGGTTTTTAGAAGTCATATTCTTCAGAAATACCTTTAAAATGGACTCAGCAGTACTGCATTAAACCCATACTTTTCGTAGAAAGGTAATTAATAGAACTCTCTCCACCTAATCACACAAAAGTGAAATCATGTGTCAGTGAAGTTCATAACACACTCTTTTGTCTTTAACAGTCAAAATGCCCAAAGTTAAGTGTCTCAGAAGAACAGAAATTCTGAAAGGCTGAAATCTGGACAGAAGGAATTCCCGTTGGTACTGCTTCAATCTACTTAAAAAAAATAAGAGGATTACCTGATACAACTCAGACTCCCCCACCCCAACACCAGATGACCTTTTGGTACTTTATTTTCTGGATGATTATCTTTTCAAATGTTAATATTGTGAAACAGATTTGAATTTCTCTTGCTATAACTATGAACCCTGAATATGCCAATACCATTCATAGTTTGCAAACTAAGTAATAAATGTAAACTAAGTATAGATTCCAAAAGCATCTTTCACACTAAAAAACCCTTACTGAATACCAAAGTTACTACAGACCAACCAGAAGACCTATTTCCTGTAACTATCAGATATCTGTATCAGTAAATTATCTGGAAACTATCTCTTGAATTTAAAAAGTGAATTATATTTCATTTCTAAATATATTCAGTTCTCTTTCCCACTTAGAAAACAGTGAGTCAGTGTGGGTCATGAGATAGTGGAAGAAGAAATAATTATAAAAATAGGAAATATATATGTACTGAATATTTACCACAGCCAGATACTGTCATAATACATGAACCATTAAATGTAAAGGTACTTTTATGAGAAAGGTACTTTAATCCTCAATTTAGAAGAAAAATAATGTAGAAAAGTAAGTAACTTTCCCCAAATCAAAGAATAAGTGGATGTGATGTCAGGTATGTCCATATCCAAAGCCCATGCTTGCTTACATTATTAAGATTAAAATATTGCAATTTACTGCAAAAGCAAATTTTTCACTGCCTTAAATACTCATTAACGCAAGAGTCAAGTGCTCACTCGAAATCATTCATATTCATGATAAACCAGGGGGGGAAATGGACCAATATCTTGCTGAATTTTGATACCTGTTCCGAATAAACACACATCGCACAATTTTATTCTATAAGGCCTTTTAAAGAACATATACAGCCACCAACAAATTTAAAAGGCAAGAGACAAAGATCTGTGTTTGTGTTTAACAGTTATTTCTTTTTCCATCCTAGAGAGAATACTGTATTTGAATATGCCGCTTTAGCCGGTGTGTTTTTCCTCTTCCCTCATCATCAAAGCCCTAAGTAAGCCGGAGTACAACACTTCTGCCAACCTACAGTCGCTTGTCTCCAAAGTAGTCCTACTACCCAGAGGACCAACACCAGCGTCGGGACCATTTCCTAATGACAGACCTATGTTACTTTCCTGTCTTCGCCTCTTAAAAGAACTGCTCACCCTCTGATGCTCACTTGACACGCCAAAGGACTCGGTTAAACGACTCATTCTTATTATCAAAGTCATTGTCTTTTTGAGCAACCGTCCTTTCAAGCCAACGAAGCACCAGGTCCACCCTCCACTGTGATCTGCATCCTGGGACATCCTCTGTCCCCGCCTGGGACACTCACCAAGGTTCGCGGCCAGGGACTCCGGTTTCGGTGCCGAGCGCCTGGAGCGGGCATTCAATAAATCCTCACGAATGGGTGAAGGAAAGGACCTGTGGGTGGAGGCGGGAAAGGGGTCGTGAAAGAAATTCCCGCCGCTCAGACCAATGCAGTGGCACCCCGTCTGGGGAGGGAAGTAAGGGGGCAGGTGGGAGAACCCGGGGCCGGGACAGGGGGCCGCGTCGGGTGCTCCTTGGCGGGCAGGAGCCGACCGTCCGACGCAAGCTTTTTGGAAGACGCGGGCGCCGTCTCTGTGGGTCACCAAGCGCGCTCCCGGGCCTCGGTCTGAGCCTCCGCCTCTCTCTCCTACCCCTGCCTCCCGCACACAGGACAGCCGGGCCGGGGCCCTGCGAAGCCAAGGGCCGACCGGAGACTCAGCCTCACTCACCTGACGCTCCACCGGCAGCACCGCGGTCTGCATCCGGCGCGAGCTTCTCGGCCCAGCGGGTCCCTGAGATCAGCTGATTCACGGGAGGGGCGGGGCCTCTGAGGGGCGGGGCTGCGGGGCGGCCAGATAGTGTGAAGGCGGGTGGGGAATCGCCCCCTGAAATAGGTGGAGTTAGACGCCGACGGCGTCTGATAGCGATCAAAATTATCCAAGAGGCCTTAGGCACTGTGGGTAATGTCCTCGGGAGTACTGCCCCTCCCTCAGGATAGGGCGGAGCCACCAGGCCTAAAAAACTCGCTTGGACGGTGACGTAACTTGGAGTCGCCGGGGCCTAACTACCCGGGAGCTTCCATGGTAACAGGTGGTGAGGAAAGAGACCGGGAGCTGCAGGCATTTTGCTGCCACCTCAAACTGCAGAAGTCAGAAGGATGAGTTCGCTATTCTTTACAGGGAAAAGGCTAGAATATCTTCTGCTTCTACGGACTATACCCTAACGGTAGTCCCTTCCGCCCCGCCAATGACGTCATTGGCAAGCGGCGCCAGTTGGTCCTAGTGTCCACGCTGTTTTTACTCGGTTGCAACCCCGAAAGATGGAATGGGGTAGGAGTAAATAAATTGGTATCTTTTATGATTCCGCGTTCCCCAATGTGCGATCTGAGTAAAACTAGTCTGAATGCACAGCACACAGTTTCGCAACAGTCTGCCTGTCGCAGCCTCAGCCCCACCCGACTCAGCTCGCAGCTGATAAGTCCTCTCAGGAAGATTTTCCCGAGCCGCCACCTTTGGCACAAGGTGCGTGCGAACTTTCTGCTGCCAGGCAGTGTGCCATCCCTGAGCCTGCAAACCTGCATTCTGTCCATCAGCGACAGAGATACAAAGTCTGAAGTTCCTTTGCATAAACGTTCTGTCACGTTCACCTTCAGCCCCAATGCCTCCTTGATCCTCCGCCCCCTGCAAAATCGTTAAGGTCTGCACCAATTCGGCCAACCTTGTCCGCTCTTGCACCAGTGCTTAAAACAACATAACCTTGAGAATTGGCAGCGCTGCAAACGAAGGGTGTCCAACTTCAGTCGAGGCTTACATGTGGGCAGGCAGTCTTGCGAAGCCTAAAACAGTCCTTAACACCTGGCTACTAGGAATTTCTCTTTTATTCCCAACCCGCACACGTTGCTAACTGAACTTTACCTACCCTTTGGTAAACATTTTTAAAAATGAAAATTTAATGTGCTATGGTGAGTGCTGTGAAGTGTGTAAACCTGGCGATTCACAGACCTGTACCCCTGGGGCTAATAATACATTATATGTTTATTTAAAAATTTTAAAATTTTTAAAAAATGAAAATTTAAAAATTGTCTCCTACGTTTCTGAGGAAAATGGGACCACTTGGGATGGATTGCCCTAACTCCCACCAACCACTATTACAAAACCTACCTGCAGCCCTAGTCTTTCAGTCTTCCTTTTCCCGATTTCTCCTTGGCTTCTGGGACACACTCCTTCCGGGTTTTCCCCCTATTTCTTCAGACCTAGCCCTAACCCTAACCTGTCCCTTAAGTTCTTGGACTGAATAAATATTTATTGCATACTTTATTATGTGCCAGGCACTATTCTAGGCACTAGAGAGACATGATAATGAACAAAACAGACAAGGGTCATCGCTCTAGTGGAACTTCCACTCTGGTAGTGTAGAAAAATCATTCCAAAGATGGCAACTGTCAAGTCTTTCCTCCACTTGATGTCAAGAGATGGATTCTATTTCCTCTTCACCTGAGTATGGGCTAGGATGCTTTTCTTTTTTAACTGATAAAATGAGGCAGAAATAAAGTTCTGGGACTACTGAGTCAAGGCCTTAAAAAGAATTGGCAGCTTCCACATACCTCCCCCTCTGAAAAGCCGGTTGCCATGCTTTAATAAATGTCAAGTGTTCTAGAGGTTGATAAGAGACGATGTGAAGAGATAGGCCACATGGAAGAGCATTAAACTGCCAAAACATAAGCAGAGACTTCTGAGACCTTCCAGGCCAACCCAGTTACCAGCTGATTGCAGCTGAGTGAAACCAGCCAGTGCTAAGAGGAGCAGAACACCCTAGTCAAGGGCGCCTGGGTGGCTCAGTTGGTTGAGCAACTGCCTTTGGCTCGGGTCATGATCCTGGAGTCCTGGGATCGAGTCCCGCATCGGACTCCCTGCTCGGCGGGGAGTCTGCTTCTCCCACTGATTTCTCTCCTCTCATACTCTCGCTTTCTCTCTCTCTCTCTCTCTCAAATAAATAAATAAAATCATCAAAAAAAAAAAAAAAAAACAGAACACCCTAGTCAAGTCCTGTCTGAACTCCTGACCCAATTTCCCAAGAAATGATAAATTGTTGTTTTTAACCACTAAGTTTTGGGATGGTTGGTTATGCAGCAATGCCTGAAACAAGTGGGAAGAGTGAGAGCTACTAAACTAACATGGTGATCACTGGGCTATACAGAGGCAAAAAAGGGAAACAGTCAACAAAACTAAAAGGCAACCTACAGAATGGGAGAGGATATTTGCAAACGTCTTATCATATAAAGGGCTAATATCCAAAAATCTATAAATAACTTATCAGAGGCACCTGAATGGCTCATTGGGTTAAGCCTCTGTCTTTGGCTTGGGTTGTGATCTTAGGGTCCTTGGATTGAGCCCCACATTGGTCTCCTTGCTCATCAGGGAGCCTGCTTCTCCTTCTCTCTCTGCCTGCCTTTCTGCCTACTTGTGATCTCTCTCTCTCTCTCTGTCAAATAAATAAAAAATAAATCTTTGAAGAAAAAAAAAGAACTTATCAAACTCAACAACCAAAAAACAAAAAAAAATCCAGTCAAGAAATGGACAGAAGACATGAAAAGACATTTCTTCAAAGACATTCAAAGACACATGAAAAAATGCTCAACATCACTCATCATCAAGGAAATACAAGTCAAAACCGCAATGAAATACCACCTCACTGCCAGTCAGAATGGCTAAAATTAATGCAAACAACAGATGTTGGCAAGGATGCAGAGAACAGGGAACCCTCTCACGCTATTGGTGGGAATGCAAGCTGGTGTGGCCACTCTGGAAAACAGGATGGAGGTTCTTCAAAACGTTAAAAATAGAGCTATCCTACAACCCAGCAATTGCACTACTAGGTAATTATCCAAAGGACACAAACATAGTGATTCAAAGGTGCACATGCACCCCAATGTTCATAGCACCAATGTCTACAACAACCAAATAATGAGAAGAGCCCAGATGTCCATCAACAGATGAATGGGTAAAGATATATGTATATATACATACATATAGCCCATGTCTATATTCCATTATATTATATATGATATATATTTATATATATTGGAATTACATATATCCATTACACTATAATATAATACATAATGGAATATTACTCAGCCATCAAAAAGAATGAAATCTTGCCATTTGCAACAATGTGGATGGAACCAGAGGGTACTGTGCTAAGTGAAATAAGTCAGTCAGAGAAAGACAAATACATGATTTCTCTCATATGTGGAATTTAAGAAACAACAGATGAACATGGGGAAGGGAAGGAAAAATAGAATAAGATGAAAATGGAGAGGGAGGCAAACTCCAAGAGACACTGAACTCTAGGAAACAAGCATGGTTTCTGGAGGGGAGGGGGGTGCGGGGAAGGGATAATAGGGTGATAGGTATTAAGGAGGGCACTTAATCTAATGAGCGCTGGGTGGTATATGCTACTGATGAGTCTCTAAACTCTACCAGTGGAACTAATAATACAGTCTATGTTAACTAAATTGAACTTAAATAAAGAATTTTTTAAAAAGAGGCAAAATAATGTAGTAACTAAAAGCTCATTCTTCTAGGCAGGTAGCCTGGGTTCAAATCTAAGCCCCAGAACTTACTTTGTGACCTTGGCACAAGTTATTTAACCTGCATACCTCTGTTTCTTCATCTACAAGACAGGGATAGTAAAGTTATCTACTTTATAGGGTGATGTGAGATTTAAAGGCAAATTGCTTACAATGGTAGCTGGCACATGAGTGCATATTAATGTTGTGGTTGTTGCTGGTTTTTTTTTTTTTTTAAGATAAGGTAAGCAGGAAAAATCTCTCTTCTAACGGGACAAATTTGGACAGATTATAAGAAGTGAGGACTTGTGGATATTTGACACTCCAGGCAAAAGGAAACAAGTCACTTGCAATGCTGCAAGCGCTGGATCTGAATGAGAAGAGTCTGAAAAAAAGCTGAATGAGGCTGGAACTGAATGAAAAAAGGTTGAAAGGTAATAAATAAGGTAAGATCAGGTAAATGATTATTTGGTGTGGGAGGCAGGCCGGATCCTTGGATCCTTTCGGCCCTGGAAGGGACTTTGGGCTTATCTGAGTGATATGCACAACTGCAGGGGCACCATCCAGGATTGTTGTAATCTGGCTTCAGTTTTTGTTTTTAAAGATTTATTTATTTATTTGACAGAGAGCGCAAGCCAGTGCACAAACTGGGAGGGCAGCAGGCAGCAGGGAGCAGGAGAAGCAGGCTCCCTGCTATCAGGGAGCCCCTTGTGCGGCTGGACTGGAGTAGAGCCTCAGGCAGATGCTTTAACCAAATGAGCCACCCACACGCC